CGATGAATGTTGTGGGTCCGAACCCCACATGGGACAACATGTGTGATTCACAAATTGTTGTTCTGAGTCTGGGTGTCCATTCTGACTCTAACTGAACTGAACTGAATAGGCTAATTTTGCTCTTGGAATATTTGTGGAAGTTCGGGGAAGGTTTAAACGGTGAGAAAATATGTAAAAAATGCGAGGAAAATTGTAAAAACATTAATTTTATTTTCTCTTACATAATGTTCCTTTCTATCAAATATTTGACGTTCGTCCCGACCGTCGTCGTAAACTCTCTCGATAATTCTTTCAATGCATTTCATTTTTTCAAAAGATAACTCTCGCTCCAGGAACATATCCTGTGTCGCGGGGGACATTACAAACATTCGTGCAACGTACACAAAGAACACCCAGACTCAGAACAACAATTTGTGGATCACACAAAGTGTTGTCCCATGTGGGGATCGAACCCACAATACTCAGCGTAGGAGGAAGCGGTGAGGTGATCGCTTAAACCATCCGTACGTGTTCAAAAATGCTCAACGCGCCAAAAGACGTTTTCACTTCAAAAAAACTTGGATCCCTTCAAATTAAAGCACATAAAGGTTTCAAATCGAAATCAATTTTTGATAATCGAAATATTCAACAATAAACAAATATGTCATTCCTTTGCTGAAGTGACAAATACTTACTATTTTTAGAATATTTTGTCATAATTCAGTAAAATAGGTTGTGCGCGGGCACTTTCTTTACATTTATACATGACCGGCCTGTTGGTCTAGTAGTTAGTGACCCTGACTGCTAATCCGGAGGTCGTGGGTTCGATTCCCACCCATGACAAATAATGTGTGATGAGCACGGTCATTTGTTCTGTGTCTGTATGTAATTTATCTATAATATGTATGTATTTAAAAATATATAAGTATGTTTTTCAGCAGTCTGGTTACTATAGCACAGGCTCTGCTTGGTTTGGGATCAGACGGCCGTGTGTGAGACGTGTGAGGGATTGTATATTTAATTCTTCAACGATTTTTGGTGATACACAGTTCACCTAGACATCTTATAATGAGATAAAAAAGAAAAAAAATCATCATCATCAACAACAACCTTTAACTGTCCATAGCTGGACATAGGCCTCTCCTTAGAAAGGAGGGTTTGGCCTACAAACAAACCCTATAAGAAACCCGTCTGGCTAGTGTGGTATACGCTGGCCAGACGGGTTTCTAATAGGGTTTGTTTCAAGTTTTCCTTCTCTTTGGTCCGCAAGGGTCCGCTAGTATATTTATATAAGTCACAAGGAAATGCCATAAACAAAGTTGTGTTAGATTTGTCTTAATTGCGAGAGTGACAATGGGCATATGAAAATTATAAAACTTGAAATTTTTAGTATGTAAGTACCTATACATTTTTACGCTGTCAGGTTTTTCTATTTTTTGTTCAATAATTAACTTGTTTTTGCCTAGTATTAATTGTGCTTATGGACAACTACCGACGTACCAACTAATATGCAAATATACTACGCAAATACTTTTTAATTAGTTTTTAGTTTAGTCATTGTTCACACCCGTGCCTTACCTTCGAAAGGGTAGGCAGAAGTAATATCACATCACACATCACATCAACAGCCTATGATAGTCCACTGCTGGACATAGGCCTCTCCTTAGAAAGGAGGTTTTGGCCTAAATATCTAAATTTAGTTGGCTAAAATTTGGTTTTTGCCTAAATTGAAGGGAAGGTAACAAAAAGCATACCTGTGATTACTGTTAAGATTGAGGCAGACAGCCATCGGGGCGAGATAGCGAAGCGGTTAAAATTTACTATCTACGAGTTAGCTATCGCCCGCGGCTTCGGGCGCGTAATTATTACTCATTTCCTGTTTGAAAATGAAGGTTGAAGTGGTGAAGCAATCATTCCTTATTTTACCCTCTTAGGGGCGAAATTTCCAAAAATCTATCATATTTTGGATCAATACATCGTCTTATATACCTACTTATATGAAACTAGTACCTTACAATCTCCGCCGCGACATCCCGCCCCGCATTCTGTCTTCCCCAGTCTTTATCCATTCGGTGAAAATGTGTATTTCGCTCAGTGATTAGGCATACATTATACATATTTTATGTAAATAAATAAATATATATATATATATATATATATATATATATATATAAATAATCCTTCGTTCTTCTCTTTATATTGCTAATGAGATTAAAACACCATAATTAATTACATAATTAGCTTATTTTATGATACGGACCCCATTGTGAATTATAATTATCATTTAATTGTAGATAGACTTATTAGTAACACTAAAAAATATTTAGTAATTTTCTCAAAGTTTTTATTTTTATGGCCGTTTTGTTGTTACTTTGATTTATTGTTTGTATGGGAGATGCCTATGTCCAGCAGTGGACTGCGATAGGTTGATGATGGTAATGATACTTTGATTTCTTTTAAGTTTTTTTAAGTTTTTTCTATTAGAATATTTGTCGTATAATCGTTTCAGCGTTCATAAATGTCATATCGGATTGGATCAGATACGGAATCATTCAGATTTAGATGGAATTCAACACAAAGACAGATACTACTAGAGCTACTACCACTACTAAAGATACTAGACATAACTTTATATTCAATAAGTTAATAAACTTAGATTAATTGAATAAATATTCATATAATGTTCTCACTTGACCTTCGCACCTTTGACTCGACGTAGGTCTGTTTGTGTCTTTATTATTGAATTGTAACTTACATTTACAGACATTATCGTGACTGCAAAATTTCTTGGAAAGGACAGAGTGAGAGAGGTCCTCAGAATAGTGTAGCACTCACAAAAACTTCACAAAATGTTTGTTTCGTCGTTGTTTTGTAAGTTAAGGTCTCTTTATTAATAATACATTCATGATTTAATTATTATCACTGTATGACTTGACTGTGCGTCTTTCAATCTGTCTGTCTGAACGCAATAAATACCTAGAGTATCCAACAGTTGTTGATAAAATTTCACAAATTAATTCACGAGGAAGTTTTTAAAGAGTACATCTATACTAATATTATAAAGCTGAAGAGTTTGTTTGTTTGTTTGAACGCGCTAATCTCAGGAACTACTGGTCCGATTTGAAAAAATCTTTCAGTGTTAGATAGCCAATTTATCGAGGAAGGCTATAGGCTATATATCATCACGCTAAGACCAATAGGAGCGGAGCACCAATGAAGAATGTTTCAAAAACGGAGAAAATTTATTACTATTGAGAGACGCAGACGAAGTTGCGCGGGTGAGCTAGTTTTATATAATTCATTAGGATAGTTTTTATAAATTTGATCAAATATAAGGACGACTATTGCAAATGTCGGGAAACTTGCAAGATTAGTGGGCCCGCAAAAATTAATAGAGATATATATGAAAACCGGTCCGGGGTTAAGCTTTACAGGACAGAAATTTCAAATAATTATGTTATGTTTTTGACATAACTTTTTTAATTCTAAACCTGTAAGTATGAAAATTGGCATACAAGTGAAAAATAGGGTTTGTTTTAAAATGCAAAAAAAAATCTCTGTCTCAATTTACGAGCTAAGCCCTTGTCGGTGGAGCAATCGCCACCCTTCTCTATTTGATGTGATCTGTTTGACGTCTTAATAGGCCATTACTCCAACTTTCTCCTGCACTTGCTGCATTTATTTTAATCTAGGCCGTCCTCGTTTTCTCTTGCCTTCTATTACATTTATTTTAATCATCATCATCAACAGCCTTTAATAGTCCACTGCTGGACATAAGCCTCTCCTTAGAAAGGAGGTTTTGGCCTACTATACCACGCTGGCCAGACGGGTTGGTATAGGGTTTGTGTCAAGTTTTCCTTCTCTCTGCAGTGCTGTTGTCCTGCGTAGTTTTTCCCCCCCTTAGTCGGCTCTTACGACACCCACGGGATGAATAGGGGTGGTGACACTCTGTATTCTTAATCCGTCACCACACGGACAATTTATTTAATAAAAAAAAACAATTATTAATTATATGCTTCATTTTACTTTGAGCGCCTATCAAACAAACACTGAATAATTTAAAATCTAAAATACATTTTTTTTGCTTGAATATGGTAATAATAATACATTACAAAACCGACAATATTCTAAGATCATGACGAAATGAGTAATGAAACTTGGTATCGTCTTGTTTTTTAACCATTTGTTTTATTAAATACAGAATTTTGTTTTTTTTTGTCACGATAATAACACACCTTACAATTTTGCTGTTATATTTAGAGTGCATTGAGGGCAATAATGCCTGCAGTATGAAACTCTGGTTTCCTCTAAATCTGCGTTCGCTTCGCAACGACGACTTTGTCTATGAATTACAGATTATTAATGAGATGTCTGGATATATAAAATCTGTGGTCGACAAAAATATTTGTTAATTAACTTTGATTTTGTATTTGTTTATGAAATATTGGATTAAGTAATCGTCAGTGACCTTTTTTTAGGGTTAGATATAAAAATATCATGCATGATATTGTAACGGGGAGGTTAATTGTTCTAAGAAAATATGTAGGTAAATCATTTTAGAAACACAACACAATTACTAAGTTTTTTTTATGTTGTTCGTTTATTTTAAGGGATTAACACTTTTTCAAAGCTTTTGTGTGTTTTCTTACAAAATTTAAGAAAAAAACAATGATTAGGTACACCTGCGATTCCCTAAAAACGTGTTGTATTTTGATGATAAAAGTTTATTTCATAATCAAAGTACTTTAACTGTAATTCAATTTATTTTTATAAATTTTAAAAACCTTTCACTTAATATAACTTATTTGAATATGACGGAAAACGTAATTTCGGTCATATTCAAATAAGTAACGAACTAAAAAAGAAATCTTTTTTTTTTGGTTATGGTTCATTTTTCGATTTCATTTTCAAAAATACGTAGATGTAACCCGTAATCTGATCACTTATACAACATATAATATCCGACATGAAAACCTTGTTCCATATTTAGTATTCAAAAATTAAAAACAATGAATACTCACCTGTCCACTGTTACACGATATCCATTCAAGAACACTATAAAACTGAAACTTTTTACTAATTATTTAAAAAATATCACAAAAAATAAATCACACCCACACTAAAAGATAAAATTGAGGTTATAATCGTCTGTTAATAATGAACTTTTAATTCAAGAATAGGTAATAACAGTTTTCGAAAGTAGTTAGTCGTAATTTTGGCGGGAGCGGGACGCTGAGTCGTAAAAACAACGTGTTTACCGGCCGGCGACTGGTCGGACACTGGCCGTCGGCCGAATAGCAACGCTGCCTGTGCCAACGTGTTTGCAACGTGGGATCGTACGATATTGAAGTCAAATCGAAAATTGATACGTCACACATCGCGCGTACATGCATTTCTAGTTTATGGGTTTTGAGGAAAATTACATTACTTTCATTAAATGTCTATTTGTTCTGAGACATTACATGTAGTGTATTACATACGCCATTAAATCTAAGTTTAACGTTCGATAATAAACTTTTCAAGTGTGTTTTTAAGTCTTGACTGTCAGACTGTGACTTTGCCAGCTTGTCCGACGATTCCCGTTATGTAATTGAATATCCTTAATAAAAGTAAATTCTACATTTTATGTAGCTATTACTGTTACTTTAATAATAATTTATTATTAATTACATAATGTTAAGTTCAAATTTCAACCATTTTTATTATGGTCGAGTACTTTTATGAGTCGTAGTGTGATGTTAAATATTACTCATGATCTGCAAATTTTTTTAATCAGACTATTTAGTTTTCAAGGTTAGCACTTTCAACAAAGTAATACTATTAATCATTAATATGATAATCATGATTAAAATAAGTCATGAACATGGTCGTGCGCCGTGTTCCCTACACTCTCTGTACCACGTATATATTATTACTACTAACTAAGTATTTTTTATCATTTAAGTCGTTTAATAATATTTTAACCGACTTAAGAAAAAGAGAAGGCTGTCTTATCACAACACTGTCACAAAACTTAAAACAATCCCTATACCAACCCGTCGCGTTGGGTCAACATGGTATAGTAGGCCAAAATCTCCTTTCTAAGGAAATTCCTATAAAGGGTGTAAGGGACGTCGTAACGAATACTGAAATAGTGTATTCAGACTATCATTCTGAGTCGAAAATCAAATTCAAATTTTATGTCGGAAAATTAAACGTTTTATGCTATCGGCTGCCAAAGGTTAATGTCATTCCCGTAGATATTGCACAAAAGCAATAACTATATTTGTATTCCGTGCTAACAGTCTACGCACACTAACACAAATGGCGGCCGGAGGGGAAGCCCCGCGCGCTTTGGTTGTTAGATTAATTACATTGCAGTTTTTGACCGTACGCGGTATTTATTGAATTATTTTGGGTAAAATGTTCTGATTACTCATTGTGAAAAAATTACCATAGATTTATTTTCAGTAAATTCCAATGATTTTCGACTTAGAATGATGGTCTAAATACACTATTTCGGTATCCGTTACGATGTCCCTTACAACCAGTATCTAGCAGTGGACTACTAAAGGCTGTTTATGTAATGATGTGATATACATATTTTGTAGATGGAAGTTTCTAAAGTAGCCTTAACACCATGTACCTATGCAAAATGACATAACGATTTATGATATTATATGAGCAAACGAGCAAAAGGGTCACCTGATGGAAAGCGACTACCGCCGTCCATAAACGCCTGCAACTCAGGAATGACAAGCGCGTTGCCGGCCTTTGAGAAAGGAGTACGCACTTTTCTTGAAGGTTTGAAGGTCGTATCGGTCCGGAAATATCACAGACGACAATTTGCTCCATAGATTGGGTGTACGAGACGATAATGAGTGGAGGGGGTAAAAGCATAACAGACGAACTATTATCCTCCGAGTCTTCTCCCAAACTAGATTGGGGTCGGATTTCAGTCTAATACGAAACGGCTGAATTTGGATTGTTAACGTAGAGCGACTTGGTGTGGTGACGGATTAAGAATACGGAATGTCACACATTCATCCCGTGGGTGTCGTAATAGCCGACTAAGGTAAAAAACTACGCAGGACAACAGCACTGCAGAGAGAAGGAAAACTTGACACAAACCCTATACCAACCCGTCTGGCCAGCGTGGTATAGTAGGCAGAAGCCTCCTTTCTAAGGAGAGGCCTATGTCCAGCAGTGGACTATTAAAGGCTGTTGATGATGATGATCCTGACTCGGTTACCACTTAGCTACGAGTCTCTCTATAACAGACGAATTAGCATTAGTATTTATAATATTAGTTATGGTTATTATTCTGTCAGTAAGAATATCAAACCCACGCAATAGCTGTCAACAATCGGGTGAAATTGCGATTTGCAAAACTATGTTGAATGTTATTGATAAACATCTCAAAGTACTTGTGTATATTTATAAATGCTTTCAACAGACTATTATATTAGTTTAGTGAAAACCATATTTCTTATATCTATCCTAAAAATGTTGTTTTTTTTTCATGTTTCGGACATATTATACATAGAAAACACCTAAACTCTGAAACAAATATTTGCAGCTCACACACATATTTGGTCCGACAGGGAATGGCATCAGAGACTTCAACACAGCAGTCATATTCGCTGCCACTGCACCACTGAAGCAGTCTAATACAAATTATGTAAACCTGAAGAGTTGGTTTGTTTGGTTGAACGCGGTATATTCACCAACTGAATGGGGTTACGGGTAAGCATAGGAGAAAATCACAGTGAACTGTAGGATTGGATTGCTAGGTAGGTAGGTTAGACATTATTTAACAGTAAATCTAGTGTTTTTTAAATTATTATGTAGGGAATGGTAGCTATATATAATAAAATAATTACTAGATTTATTGTTAAACAGGCGAAATAGGGTCTTTATGCATCGTCTGAAAACAGCTTATTGTTAACAACGCGGTAAAACAGAAACCCTTGTCTATGTACGAAAAAATCGAATGATAAATCACCGGTCTTTCACAGTTCACTGTGATTTTGTCCCATGCCCGTAAGTAGTACGGGAACACAAACCTATCCCACCTTCACTTTCCCCTTGAGATGTTGGTCAGATAGGTGTGACATGATTCAAGATATTATTATTACATTATTGACATGAAATCACTTTTAGCCCCCTATACAAAGCTTCGTCGCAGATTTGGCAGCGCTTATGGTAACAGCTGTTGTCTTAATGGTTGTGACGTCACGTTTTGTCAAGAATTCTCAAGAATTAAACTATAAAATAATAATACATAATAACTGGGACACGTCACCAATCTATGGTAACCAGAACCAGATATGGTAATCCTGATCCTGTACTATGGTAACCAGACTGCTGATAAACATACTTATTAATAAGTTAATACCTATAATTAATAAGTTCTAACTAAGAATCGAAACCACAACCTTCAGCTCAGCGCTCTGAATTACTAACCGCTAGAAGAATAAGCAATAATTGAAAAGAAAGTGTTGTTTAACTATATTTGATTGCATTATTCTGTTCTGCTTTTGTTGTGTTACAAATTGCAATATGCGTCCACAAGCGCAGGCGTCGTCGGGCGGCGAACAAAGTGCTATAATTACAACGGTACGGAATGCGCACGCGCAGCTTTTTGCGACGCATACCGATGTGTAGAGCCGCTGCTACCATATTGAAAGTTATCGATTTATAAGCTTTTGTCCGCGGCTGCACTCGCTTTGTATTTAATGTTTAATTGACGTCAAAGAAGGAGACTATTACTTCTGTTGCATTGACTGGTTGCTTGGCGGTTTTATGTGTTGCCGTGGCATTACTCCGACTACTACGAGTATTTATCTCGAAGCATGGCTTCAACCACGGATCTAGTTTAAAATGTTATGTTCTAATCATGAAAAATGCCAACTATTATATATATTTGTCAGTTTTTTAAGCTATTTATCTCAAACGCTGGCAAGACAGGGCACTATTATTATGTTTCTGCATTGCTCTCCCATATACTGGACAAACAAACTCATATTCAAATTTAGAATATTAGTTAGCAGTTAGGATGGATAAACGTCATGCTGACACTGCAGGTTTTTTTGTATTTAGTTCTTATTACTTACTGAAAGCGTGTGAAGTGTGTCAATTTGTATTCTATGAGATTCCAAGCCTTGCCTACTAGACGGTGCAGTAGGTACATATAAGGAAAAGCCGCAGTATGTCCTTTCACTCAGTAGAGAAATACTCGCGCGCCCAACATGACGTACGCTACATTAAATTTGTTGTTGTTTACCGACACCTTTTCATAACCTTATTTGGGGTTGGTGCAATGAGATTTCGTCTTCCATTTTCCTCCGTCCTCTTTCTTTTGTGGTCGGTCGGTTTTTGCTTTTTCTTTTGTGGTCAATCCTCCTTGAATCATTCTTCGTATATAGTATAAAGCAAAAGCTGTTCAACAAGTTCAAACACGCAGTACTAGCTAGCGTCCGTGGGGTTGTTTGAGTAAAATTAATAGATAGATACATAGATAGATGGAACTCTTTATTTGTACACCATTTTACAAGAAGCATGATAGTTACATGAAAGTGTTAGATATACAATGTACAAAGGGCGGCCTTATTGCTAAGAGCAATCTTTTCCAGGCAACCTTAGGATGGATCAAAATGTTCGGGAGAGATAGTAGTAGATTACTGTTCTCTATGTTACCCCTTTTCAACAAAAATCTGTGCGTTTACATTATCACTCTGTAATACAGGTCTACTTTGTACAAATGTAAGTCTCTCACACAGATTCAGCTCAATTAATATCGGTCTATCTAGTTTAAGATGTCAAGACATGTAGTTCTGTGTTGGAGAGAAATAAAATTATTATTATTGTTAGTCAAATAGATTCCACGTTAAAGCATGAAAATGCAAGAAAGAGACAGACAGAGTTATTTTCGTAAATATATTATTGGTATAGGTTAACTGCAGTGCTTTCGGAGAATTACAGATCGAGGGCTAGAATAAAACAGAAGAAACGTCCAAGTGACAGTTCAAGCACATCAGCACATGTAAAGCTGCGCCTGCGACGATTAGTAAATGTGTGTTGTAGAAGCGTGGTGTCTTATACTACCTTTTTGGGACTAAAAAGTAATTCAAATTATCTTTGATTTTATTTGAAAAGTTAATTACTCGCCTTTAAATTACGTTATGCATCGCGCAAAACATGTTTACAAAGAACTCTATGCTTACAAAACCCATTAAAACAAGTTGGAACTTGCCACTAGGCGCCATAACTTCGACCAACACACAATACAAGTTATTTTACAGTTTACAACATTTTGTTTTAAACCTGAGCTTTGTTAAGATGTTTTATTAATATTGCGTGCAAAAATGTCAGTATTGTTGAAGACGTAAAAAGTTGAGACTTGTTTATGGGAAGGACGTCAGTTTGGCTAAAATATTTTATAAATAAGGTTTTAGAATTTTAATAATAAGTAGAAAGATTTCACACGGCTTTCTGATCCGAAATTAGGCAGAACCTGTGCTATGGTAACCAGACTGCTGATAAACATATTTACATATTTCTAAATACATCCATACTAATATTATAAAGCTGAAGAGTTTGTTTGTTTGTTTGTTTGTTTGAACGCGCTAATCTCAGGAACTACTGGTCCGATTTGAAAAATTCTTTCAGTGTTAGATAGCCCATTTATCGAGGAAGGCTATAGGCTATATATCATCACATTAAGACCAATAGGAGCGGAGCACCAATGAAGAATGTTTCAAAAACGGAGAAAATTTATTACTATTGAGAGACGCAGACGAAGTTGCGCGGGTCAGCTAGTAGGTACATATTTATAAATATGTACCTACTAGCTGGAACTGGACTTCGTTTTTGTGGATTTTGAAGAGCGCTGATTTAGTGCAAGGGGAATATTTCAAAGGATTTTTTTGAGAGAAAAAATAGCCTTAGTTACTCCTTGTATAGGCAGCTACCTGGTAGTAAAATATTATCAACAACCAGACAGACAGACAGGCAGGCAGACAGACAAAAATATTAAACTGGTTTTCAGGCATAGGTATTGTGCAAAAAAACCGTGTGCGCATGAAATAAACCTATTATTTTGACATTACAAACAGACACTTCAATTTTATTTATTTGTATAGAAATGAATGTTCAGTTGGTTTGTGTATGCTTCAAAAACTCAAAAAGTTCTGCACCGATTGATTGACACGATATACAAATACAACCCGCTTAAATGTTTTTAATCCCATTTTCGCGCTAAATTTGTCTATTTCTCATTGCTTCAAAAACTCAAAAAGTTCTTTTATCTATTTCTTATTTCATATGAATCAATTTAATGTGCCACAGCTACGCGAGCAGGGTACAGCTAGTTACATATAAATTTCTCCCAGGCACAGAGCAGACCATCGTCCACATCACTTAATTATTTGTCCTCCTGTACCTCTTGCTGTACCTCTAACTAACCATTAGAGCCAAAGGGCCGCCGAATTGATTAATTATAAGTTCATTTCCAGTATAATAAAATCCAAACACATGAAAACAATTTAGAGAATTCATTGAGTAACTTTATTGTGAACAACAAAATGTCGTCGGCATAATAAATAACAGTTCGTTCATGCAAAAAGATTTGTATCTGTAGCAAAGGCATCAATGGCATTCCGCTTCGGTGAGCGCCATATTGTTTGTGTTTTTTTTCGCGCCAACGTCTTTAACTGGCCGTCTACTGTCTCTTATTTAGGGTTGCGCGCGGATTCCAAATAGTAAAATTGTTTTTCATTTCAAGAAATTTTAATTTGCATAAAGCTACACTATTCTTTGAGTTAATACGATACGATTTTGTAAATAATTTACTTCGTGTGCAATTGTAGACTGTAATCTATCCCTGTCCCAAATTTCTTTCCGATTCGTTGAGCAGTTTTAGAGTTATTAAATAACAAACATCCTGGATGGAACAAACATTGATAATAGTAAGATTCATTGGAGTAAAGTATTCATTGGAGAATATAATTAACTCAATTCATATGGAAGCTTAGAATGCGTCAAACTACGACTCGGAACGAAACTGAGAAACAAAAAAGAGGATAAAGCATTGGCCTCCAAAGATTATACTATTAGTACAAATATCGAATACGACATAATATTTTATGTTACTTTTTATCGAGTCAACTTTTTCAAAATAATTGGGTTTCCTGGATAATAATTAAAACTAAGTACATACAACGTTAATTGGATTTATTGATAATAAACTGTTCAACTAACTAGGTACATTTTACAAATAAGAAAAACCCGATGTTTTTTAATTGGGTAATTTTTGATCCATTTTCCCATTCAATTCAATATTGACCGTAGTGTGATTATATCGTATTATGACTGAAAGTTGAATCGGTATTCTGTTAGTCTTAGTAATACTTTACTACGAGAATACCTTTTATTATATTGACTGGCCTGTTTTTCTAGTGGTTAGTGACCTTGACTGCTACGCCGAAGGCCGTGGTTTCGATTCCCACCCAGGACAAATAATTGTGTGATGAGCACGGTCATTTGTTCTGTGTCTTTCTACTTTATATATAATATGTATGTACTTATAATATATAAGTACGTTTATCAGCAGTCTGGTTACCATAGTACTGGCTCTGCCTAGTTTGGGATCAGATGGTCCTGTGTGAGATGTGTGTAAAATATTTCAGAGATCGAGAGTAGATCAAAACTAAATTTTTAAGGAATTTTTATTACATGAATTGACCCTCTGTTACTTCGTGCGCTCTTTGGACAAATCAAATTAGATGTGGCTCTCTGGCCTCTGTTACACATATTAATTTTTATACAGAACCTTATTTAAATTTTCATATACGTGTGACAACCCTGGATAAGTAAACAAAAGAGCGGCTTTATTATTAAACTATTGACACGTTTCTCACGTGACACGTGGCAACTGTAAGGGTTGCCAGCACATTGACAATTGACATGAAACGGGTTGCCAGATGATCACCTCAAAAGATCACCGGGGTACATAATTGACCGTTTACCATGGGAGAGCTATGCTTCGACACAAATAGGCCAAGCTCGACCGGAGTGATACCACGGCCTCACAGAACAACGTATTCAATTCTTTCTTTTACCAAGTGAGTGAGGTACCCGAAGATACTCCTTTTCCTCTTAAATCTGGTGAGTGACCGCTCAAAGACCGGCCAAGATGACCACCATCAGGTTAGTAGTGTACTAGTTTTTTTTTCTTTTTAAAGACAACTCCCGCACTAGGAATATATCCTGTGTCGCGGGAGACTGTACAGACATGCACGAAACGGACACAAAGAACACCCACACTCAAAACAACAATTTGTAGATCATACAAAGTGCTGTCCCATCGGGATCGAAGCCACAATACTCAGCGCAGTAGAAAGCGGTGACCACTTAAACCACTACGCCATCCGTACAGTATTTTACATTCAGTTCTATAATAGTCGGGTAACCACAAAGTGAAGATCCTTTCATCCCCGGTCTTCCATACTCTACAACACCTCTTAAATAAACCGTTTTAGTTTCAAAAAGTCAATAAGTACCCATTCTAAAGTCCTTCCAATTCATATATTTCGATAACTAGTCAAATACAAAAGATGAGCCAACTCAAGAACCATTTTGACACGCCGTGTGTGTTTACAGGTTAAGTGTGTGACAGTTTA